GAGCCACCTTCCCAGCCTGGAGGCTGATTATTTACTGCCTTTACTATATGGGCCTAGTGTTGCCTAGGAAAGGAGCGTGCTAAGCTGTGGGAAGGGAGCGCACTGGGCTGTCAGTCACCACTGCTCCTTGATGACTCATTCCCGCGCTTTGGATACATGTGTTACATTGGACAATACTTCTCAAACGTTTACCATGCTCACAGATAGCCTGGAGTTCATGTAGTTAAGATCTAGATTGACTGAGCCAGTCTGAGATTGTGCATGGCCAACCAGCTCCCGACACTACTGCTAGCGTGGTTTAGAACAGCAAGGTTTTTAGGATGTCCTGCTTGCATCACAGCAGACCCTGACTAATAATGATTTAAATAAGGCAGAGGCTTCTTTCTTCTTTATCCCACCTGGGTCCCAACACTGCCGGGAGCCAAGGCAGCTTCTGTGTGTACCCCATCCATAGTTGCTCTGGACACATTTCTAACCTATAGTTGAGGCAGCAGCAATGGGGACAGTGGATGGCAGAGCCTTTCCTGCGAGGACCACATTCAAATGCAGTTCCAGCATTGGCAGTACTGTGACGAGCAGAGATGCCTTCCAAAAGCAAATCCAGCTCCTTTCCCACTCAATCAGATGGCCAGTCAGCCCCAAATAAGGCTGGGAAATGATTTATTTCATACATATTGTATTTTTTTTAATTTTAGGAAAGGATTTTATTTATACCTTTTCATTCTTCCATACACATCTTATTCTATACTTCAAGTGCCCACTGCAAAGTCTACTAACAAAGAGAATATTAAGGAAAGTTAGCAGTATTTCTTAAGAGCTGGGAGATATAAATACTGTGTCATTATTGATCTGCCAGCCACAGTACCATAAATAATCTGTGGTTTCTTTCTCACATGCACACATGCCACCAAAAACCCCCAAAATATAATACAAACCCCCAAACCTACATGACAGGCACTACTACCATATAGTGGTATTCTCATTGTCAACATTGTTCACCATTCTGCAGCCAAGAGGAAGGAGTCAAATTCAGACACTCCAAGGGCTGGAATTTTTTTTTTTTTGCCAGTCCTGGGGCTTGACCTCAGGGCCTGGGCACTGTCCCCGAGTTTCTTTTTCTCAAGGCTAGCACTCTACCACTTGAGCCACAGCCACTTCTGGCTTTTTCTGTGTGTGTGGTATTGAGGAATCAAACCCAGGGCTTCATGAATGCTAGGCAAGCATTCTACCACTGAGTCACCTTCCCAGCCCGGGGCTGGAATCTTAACAGAAAAACAGCACATAAGGGTGGCGGCTGCCATCAGGGCCCCTGAGCCGTGTAAAGGTGGTGAATGTGACTCAGAAGTGACACTTTCCAGTACTGACACTACATAAAGAGCCTCATGATTTCCAAATACTGGGACAGTGTATGTGCAGTGTATTTTCCAGAGGAAAAAAAGAGGAGCCAGACATGGTAATGTCTGTCTGTAATCCCAGCACTTGCTTGGCTGAGGCAAGAACTGCAAGCTTGAGGTCAGCCTGGTGAGACCATCTCAAAACAATCCCCAGAAAACCAAATCCTAAAGGCACGGATGGCGTAGCCCCAGAAAACCAAATGCAAAAGGTTTGGATGGAATAGATTAGAGATAGAGCTAAGGTTGTAGGTTTAATCCCAAGGTCAGGAAAAAAAAAACGTAAGTGATATGCTTCATTCCAAATTAAACTTGCATTGAGGAATGGTTTGAGTTCTCCTGTGTGTGTGTGTGTGTGTGTGAGTTCTCCTGTGTGTGTGTGGGGGGGGGGCAGTGCCAGTACAGGGCTTGAACTCAGGGCCTGGGTACTGTGCCTTAGTTCTTTCCACTCAATGCTAGTACTCTGAGTCACGCCTCCACTTCCACTTTTTTGGTGGCTAACTGGAGATAAGTCTTTCCTGCCTAGGCTGGCTTTGAACCACAATCCTCAGTTCTCCTGAGTAGCAAGATTACAGATGTGAGCCACCAGTGCCTGGCTGATCTTGCTTTAGCCTGTCTCTGCCTCCAGGAGACACCAGCCCTGAATGCTTGTGACCTAGACCCTAGAGCCACAGCTGGCTAGAACCAGAGGGGACCATTTTGTGTCACAGCTGCACGTCAAGAGGACATTTGAAAACTTGTTTCCAGAGGTTTGTTCTTTGTTTCCCTTCTTTTCATGAAAGGGGCTTTTTGTTTGCACTGCCTTTGTTTGGGGATTCAGTTAATAAAAGGACCATTTTATTGGAATGAATTACTGACGCAGGCGCTGCCAGCAATCTCGGCATGAGGACAGTAACCTGGCCCTCACTTAGCCAGGTGAATGGAAGCCACTGTGGGGCGTTGGTCTCAAGGGCACTCTGGAGTTTGCTTACTGGTTAATGTAGAAACCAGGGGAGACACAGAAAGTACCCGAGATTTATAGCACATAAAACTTTCCTTTACACATTAAAAAAAAAAAAAAAAAAGCTAAAGTGTTGGAGCCTGCTAGTCAGAAGTTATAAAGAATGGAATCTATTAGGAAGCGACTAAAAGAACGGGGGTTACTAATGATTTCAAACTCCACTTTAGGAGCCTTTTTTTTTTTTTTGTTGGTCATGGGGCTTGAACTCTGGACCTGGGTGCTGTCCCTGAGCTCTTCAGCTCAAGGCTAGCGCTCTACCACTTGAGCCACAGCGCCACTTCTGGTTTTCCAGTGGTTCATTGAAGATAAGAGTCTCACCAACTTTCCTGCCCAGGCTGGCTTTGAACTGTGATCCTGAGATCTCAGCTTCCTAAGTAGCTGAGATTACAGGCATGAGCTACCACAGCCTGGCCTTTAGGAGCCTTTGAGAAGGCCAGTCCCTTCTGAGGAACCAACTGCATACAAGTGGGGGGGGGGAATTTTTGCTGGTGGCTTATACTCATAATCCTAGCTACTCAGGAGGCTGAGATTGGGGATCAAGATTTGAAGCCAGACCCAGCAGGGAAATCTGTGAGACTCCTATCTCCAATTACCAGCAAGAAGCTAGAAATGGAGGTAGGCTCAAGTAGTAGAGTGCTAGCCTTGAGTGAAAAAGTTAAGGGAGGGGCTGGGAAGGTGGCTCAGTGGTAGAACGCTTGCCTTGCATGCATGAGGCCTTGGGTTCGATTCCTCAGCACCACATAAGCAAAAAGAAAAAAGCCAGAAGTGGCGCTGTGGCTCAAGTGGTAGAGTGCTAGCCTTGAGCTGAAGAGCTGAGGGACAGTGCCCAGGCCCAGAGTTCAGGCCCCACGACCAGACCCAAAAAAAAAAAAAAAAAAAAAGTTAAGGGATAGTTCCCAAGTCCTGAATTTTCAAGTCCCAGTACTAGTGTCACACACACATATGTGTGCACTAGTTCCTCCACTTCAACCACTGTTTTATTCACATAGGTTCTGTACTTCTTCCTATATGATACATTATTTACACATTACTTTTCTCTCTCCTATCTGGCTGTGTTCACAAACAGCAGGCAAGGCAGGCAGCAGGTATAGGATCGATACTAGCGACTACATTAGTGAAAGCTGAAAGAAATGGGAAAATAACATAGGTAGGGAAAAAATTGCTTTTATAAAAAGGCAAAATTCACCATTGTCTTCTGATTTTCCAAACTTGGCCTATGATAAACTGGAATGAAAAGGAATGGCCAAGAAGCTGGCTGGAGGTCAGTTCCTCATTCAGTGACTATGGCTTCTTCCTTTCCTATGGGTGACAATACTTCTCACAGTGTTTATGAGTTGTTCAGCAGGCAAAGAGCCACTTTCACTGGCTAGAGGGTAGTACCTGCAGAATGATGTAGAGTGAAGGGTAGGCGTCCATCTTTTTCCAGTCTCATGTAATCCTTCAAGCTGGGGTTTAGGAGGGCCAAAAAGATGCCCAGAGTTTCACTGAGTCTTATAGAGGGGCGTTTGTTAGTTGGAATGCCAAACATTTCTTTTCCCTTGAAAAAAATATTCTTGTAGAAAGGCTGTGAGATACTTGCCAGTTCCTATTTAAAGGAAGGACAAGGAATTGTCTTCCTCTGCACCTGACTTTGAGACTTTAAGTTCCAGAAAGAAAACCATTATCTAAAAAAGTGCATTCAACCAGTACTTTCCCAGACACACCCCCTCCTCCCTGTAGACAAACACAGGAAATACAGCTTGTCACTGAAATGAATGGGAAAGCCAAGACTTTTCCATCTCAATGAAATACATATTCTATTTTATTTGGCAGAGATTAGATGGAGGGTTTGGACTCAGGGGCCTCAAGCTCACTTGGCTTGCTTGCTAGCCTGGCACTCGACCACTTGATCCATGCTTTCAGCCTGGCATTTTGCTGGCTAATTGGAGATGAGGTCTTAGAACTTTCTGCCCCGGCTGGCTTTGAACCTCAACCTTCCAGAACTTCTCCACCTTTGGAGTAGCTAGAACCACAGGTAAGAGCCACCGGTGCTGAGCTTAAGTCTCATTTTTAAACACCACCAACACTACCACTACTACCACTAAACCACCATGAAATGAAAATTAAGCAACACTTGCCTTGATTTTGTGCTGTCTTCCAAATGGTGATACTGGCAAGTTGTGAATTAGTAAATTACTAGAATTACTTTGGGTTTTACTAGATTAATTTTTATTTAAAAATCTGTAGTTTCTATGGAGAAATTTATTTTTATTGAAAATTTTATGGTATCAAGTCAAAAGTGCACCATATAATCAATCAAAACTCCAGGCCACTGGGAAAAAGTTACTATTAAGGATATGTTCTTTTATTTTTTTTCTTATTATTTATTCATAAGAAACAAACCAAAAGCCCCCACAATCTACACACTTTTACTGTTTTCCAGACCTGCAAGATTGTAAAATGTACAGAGCACTTGTCAAATAAGTACTGAAAATGAAAACAGGAAGGGAGAAATCATTATTTCAGCAAATCTAAAATTAGTTTGGACCCACTGTGGTCTTTAGTGATCTGAGTTAGAGCATTCACTACTACAGTACCCGTGAAGCAAAAAGAGATTAGGACACCTCATAAAAGGTAGTGGAATAAGAAAAAGTCAATTTAATCATTTACTTTTTAGCAGGCAAGCAATTTGTAAACATTCAGTAGCGGCAGCATCCAAGTTACAAACAATTTAAAAAAGAACCAAGATTAGTGATTATAATTTTTCCTTCCCTGGCCCCAGAAGACAAAAAAAAAGAAAAAAAAAAGAAAAAAAAAAAAGAACAAGATTTGGAAATGAATGACTGAAAACACTATGGACATTGAACATTCAGTGATGTCTTCTACTACCGGCCCTTCTACGCCTCCTCTCTGTGTTTGGTCTGAAATGATGGATCTACGCTTAAAACTTCTCATCTCGCAGTAAGTGGTAGGTGAACAACTGCAATCCAGGAAGCTGTTGCTGTGCGTGCGCGTGTCACCGGCCCTGTTCAAATCCCATTTGCAAAGGGCACACTGATGTCTTGATTCAATGCTTCTTTGACTTCCGGTGGCAGCGTGTCAAAAAGGTGGTCTTCCACAACAAGCCCGCTTTTCTTGAGCAGCCGACACTGACCCAGCTGGGCTGGCAGGCGGTCCAAACAGTTCCCCTTGAGCTCCAGCTGGGTGAGCTGGGAGAGCTGACCGATTTTCTCAGGGAGAGAGGTGATGCAGTTTTGTCCCAGATTCAAAGTCCTCAACTTCACGCATTTGAACAATTGCTTTGGCAGCACGTCTACTTTATTGCCAGTGATATGCAAATGCTGCAGGTTCTGAAGCAATCCTATTTCTATGGGAATCATGGAAATGTTGTTGTAGCTGACATCTAAGCATCTGAGTTTCTGTAAACTAAACACTGCCACCGGTAAGGACTCGAGCTTGTTGTTAGAGAAATAAAGTGACTCCAGGTTTTTGACGTGGATGATGGAGGGAGGGATGGTGGCAATTTTATTATGCCACAACTTTAAACAAGTCAGTCGTTTCAAGTGCTGGAAACTGATGATCTCCTCGATTGTGCGTATGTTATTCGACTTTAAGTCCAGCTCCTGTAAATTAGAGAGGCTGAAGATGGCGTGGGGGATTCTCTCTAGCTCGCAGTTCTGGAGCTCCAGCTCGGCGACATTCATCATTTTCTTAAGGCTGTTCAGTACCAAGAGCTTCGTGCCGTCATTATGAATGACTAGCTTGGTCAGATGTGGTGCCACATCCGTGATGTTGGAGGGGACTTTGGTCAAATTACTCTTCACGTGGAGGATTTTAAGGTGCCGTAATTCCCGAAGAGATTCGAGTCCAATCATCTTATTGTTTTCGGAGTTCAAATTGCCTATCAAGTACAACTCGCGAAGGTTTTTGAGCAAATACACCCAGGCGGGAATTTCAGCCACGTCGGTGAACTTCACATGGAGGCATCGCAAGTGATCGCGCAGAAAGCTGAAAGCCGTCTGCTCCACCTTCGCGGGGCAGTGGCAGAGGTGGAGCTCTTGGAGGTTGGTCATCTGGGAAATCTTGGCGGGAATTTTAGCTTCGGGAATCAGTTCGAGCTTGAGCACATCCAGGTCTGTGAGGTCAAAGACGGCGTCGGGCACGCCCGACAGCATGAACAGATGCAGCTCCTGCTTGTCCTGCGCATTGCGGGACACATGCTGTCGGAGTTTTTCAAAGGTCCACTCGTGGTTCAAACTGATTTCCCTCAGTTTGTTCTCACTGACTTCCGAGAGGAACACCCCGAAGCGCTTCGAGTACAGCTGGTCGTACTGGTCCACCATGTGGAGAAGAAAGGCAAAATCGTTTTTGACATCAGGAATGTCACTGAAGCTGCTCTCTTCTCGAACTTTCTCGAAGGAATACTCCTTCAGAGGGATCCTGAAGAGCCAGAAGAGAGTGTAGAGGCAGATGAAACCATACACACAGATGATGGATATATAGCTGATGAGAAGCTTTTTTAACATGTAAGCCATGTTGTGGGTGCACTCAAATACCTCATAACCAGTCAGGTGCTCGACCTTTGGCTTGCACACGTGCTCGAAGCTGATGGCGTTCACAAAGTTGGCTGTGTAGCAGAGAATGAAAATGAACTTGGCAGTTTTGATAACCGTCTGGACCACATAGAGTTTATAGATCAAGTCGCTGTCCTCTACGTGAGCCCGGAACTTCCTTACTTTCTCAAACAGGGCCTTGGCCTGCTCCCCATCTTTTTTATCCAGGATGGTCATGCTGGGGACTTCGACAACAGGCTTCTCAGCGGAGAATTTGAAACCGGTTTTGTTGATCATGGGGGTGCTGGCACTGGGGCTCCCCTCGTCGCTGCTGGTGGACACGTGCTTCGGTAGGGTCTGGGCACCTGTTATCCTCTGCTTGTTCTCTTCTGAGTCTTCACAGGCCGTCTCAGATAACGCTTTTGTGGTCCAAGGAGATTCAAAGCACTTCCCCAAGATCGATACAAAATGCTCTACTTTGGAACACGTTTTGGGATATTTGAACCAAAAGTTGCTACTGACCATGAGGATTATGGTGTGTATGAGGGCCAGGTATGGGAAGTACTTAGAATACCACGGGAGGGCCAGATGGTAACACATCTGATTAATAAATACATATTGCTGAAAATCTAAGTTGGTTTTTCGGCCCGTTGGGTCTCTCTTCTCTTTCTTTGCCTCAGGACTTGGAGCTGTGGCTTCTGTGTGAGGATGCGAGGCTCTGAGAGGTACGTCGGGGGTCACCGCAGGTGTGCCAAGGGACACATCACTTGTCATCTGCCCTTCTTGCTCTCGGTGAGGGGCTACATCTGTCTTGGAGATTTCGGTGGTGACCTCAGCATTCCCTGGTGGTGTGTGTACCTTTGAATTTACAGGAGATGGCAATACTGGCAAGCAGACCACCTGATCTTTGGTAAGTTGCATGGTTCCTGCAAAGATGGCTACCATCAACATAACAACAGCCAGGTAATCCATAAACACGTCCCACCATGGTTTCAGGATTCGGTAAGTTGGCTGAATGTCATTAAGCGAAGCAACTTCTGCAAGGGTAAACATTCCTAGAAGAGCAGAAAACAAGACAGTATTTCAGACAGGCAAGTATCAAGAGTAAATGAGGAAAAGACCTCTACACCTGCTTCCAGTTTTCTCATCCAGCTCCCATTTTTTAAATTCAGGAGAAGGTATAGTAGAAAATGACCCAAAGTAACATATGTAAGGAAAATGGCTAACTTGTTTCCAGTTTCTCTCCCAGTGCAAGAGAAGAGGGGGGGAAAAAGTTAGCCTTGTAAGTAAGAGGCAATGATGTAATGGCAGCCTGGGCAATGTCTCTAGTGCTTCCTGGACCTTGAAGGGCAGAGCAGGAAGCACTCATTGACTAGACTGATTTAAAGCTAAGATTGAAGGTTTCAGGGAGGAGCTAAGGTGATTTGTATAAGCCAAAAACGAAGGGTCTGTAAGTACAGTTCAGCTTTGGGTAGTATCAATTCCACCCTGAGTCCTACCATTGACTGAAGGTATAATTCTCGAAACCTTGTATGTACAGCACCTGTATAAAATCGACGAAAATTTCCAAGGATGTTGGAAAGGTTAAATTAAGTAATGACTACAAAGCTTAGTCAACCCCCTGGCCATATATACCCATTACCTGCTTATGTTAGCACTTACTACTCTGCTGGAAGTAGCCATGGACAGTTGAAATGAAGGGGCTTCGTGTACACAGTTGGGATTTATTCACTAACTAAAGCTGGAACTGATATTTGATACCGAGCCTATGAAAAGCATATGGAGTAAGCAGAGGAGAGGAGACCCAGGTAGTCGTGAAATAATCTGTGATAAAATTCCACTAAATCAGGACTGGTGTAAGCTTTAATCTTAGTCAAGCAGTTGACCCTCCTAGCAATGGGGGAGGGGGGCTGGTAGCAGAGTCCCCGTTCACTATCAGCTGGCAGCCCGACACGTTTATACAAATGATAAGATGTCAAGGACAGTCCTTCTCGAAATAACCAAGAAATACACTCTGTTCTAGTGGCAGGTAATGGGAATGGGGTTCTGAAATTATAGGTGTATCTTCTTGAATTTGGAAAGTTTGACATCTTGAAAACCAGCATCATATTTTGCTTTCCCAAGAGGTTCTCAGATTCCAATGAATAAATCACTGTTTCTCTTTAAAAAAAAATACGGATAAAAGACAAAACAATGAACACTCAGATCTTTGGGAACACATTTATTACTGAAATGAAGGATAGGAGCTGGAGTTTAATCTGCTGATGTGAGCGGCCTTTACTGCTGTGTGGAAAGGGCTCTCGTAGTTTTCAGGAGAAAATGTTTTGACTGCCTGTCTTGGGTGACATAATAGAGTCTAGCGGAACTTGGACTCTACCCTCTGTTTTAGATTAAATTTGTTTTTTGTTTTGCTTTTAAGTGTTTGATTTTTTGGTTGGTCAAGGGGCTTGAACTCTGGGCCTGGAGGCCTGTCCCTCAGCTCTTCAGCTCAAGGCCAGCACTCTACCACTTGAGCCACAGCCCCACTTCTGGTTTTCTGGTGGTAAACTAGAGATAAGAGTCTCATGCACTTTCCTGTCCAGGCTGACTTTGAACTGTGATCCTCAGATCTCAGCGTCCTGAGTAGCTAGGATTACAGGCATGAGACACTGGCGCCCAGCTTAGATTAAATTTCTGAAAGGAAGGACCATGCATATTTTTTTTTTCTGAAACACTTCCACATAATTTGTACAACCCAAGACAGGTGAAATGATTGTTTCTTCACAAAATATTAACAATAGTTTCTTTAATCACTGATAGTAATGCTCACCTTTATAGCTTATTTTCTACATGGAATATCTCTTAAGTAAGTGGGAAAACACAAGGCTGAGAATTTCAAGTATCTAACTGATAAATTAGTTGTACTTATGCTTTGTGAAAATTATTAGAAGTCGCATTCCCAGGCTTCAGAGATTGAGTATAAAATGTATGCTATCTACTAACTATTCATTTATCAAGGAAGTAGGGACACAACAAGGATATCTCGGCATCTTTACATGGCTGTACCCACTGAACACTCTTTATCTTGTGTGTGGTTTTGCTTTCGTGACTGGCTTGAGAATAGAGACAGGAAGAAAGACTACTGGCATCAAACTAAGCAAAACTCCCAAGATAAACAACTCAACCTCATGACATTTGAGCTCTTCTGTCTCTGTATAAAATGTACAAAACACCACATTGAGTCATAATTTACAAATGACTCGACTTTGACGTCATATACACAGAAATACACCTCACACAGTTTTTTGTTGTTGTTGGTGGTGGTCATGGGGCTTGAACTGAGGGACTGGCAGCTGTCCCTGAGCTCTTTTGCTCAAGTGCTCTACCACTTTGAGCCACAGTACCACTTCTGATTTATGGTGGTTAATTGGAGATAAGAGTCTGGGGCGGGGGGGGGGGGGGGGGGGGGAAGATGGGAAGGGATGGAAAGGGGAAACAAAGGAGGAGGCTACAATGCTTGATAAGAAATGTACTCATTATCTTGCCCATGTAATTGTAACCCCTCTGTATAGTATTTTCACAATTAAAACAAACAAACAAACAAAAAAGAGTCTTTTGGACTTTCCTGCCTCTGCTGGCTTTGAACCATGATCCTCAGATCTCAGCCTCCTGAGTAGCTAGGATTACAGGTGTGTGCCGCCAAGGCCTGCATAGAAGTCTCATTTCTAATCCTGGTTTCTTCAGTTGGCTCTTGTGAAATTCACTATTTAGCCAACATGTCCCATTCCCACCCCTGAATGAACACACAGGCATCTGGCAACAACAGTAATGATAGTAATAACAGTTATCATTTGCCATCTTCCTTCCAAATACTGTCTTAGTTTTGGGTTTTTTTTTTGGTCGTTTGTGGGGCTTAAACTCTGGGCCTGAGTGTTGTCCCTCAGCTCTTCAGCTCAAGGCTAGCGCTCTACCACTTGGGCTACAGCGCCACTCACAAATACTGTCTTAGAAGCTTCAAATATTATATAATCCTCTGCTGTGTGTGTGTGTGTGTGTGTGTGTGTGTGTGTGTGTGTATTGGGGCTTGAATTTAGGGCTTGGGCATACTGTCCTTTAAGTTTTTTGCTCAAGGCTAATGGTTTACCATTTAAGCCACAGGTCTACTTCTGGAATTTTGGTAGTTATCTTGAGATAAGAATATCATATACTTTCCTGCCCAAGGCAGTTTTGAACTGCGATCCTCGGATCTCAGCTGCCTCCTGAGTAGCTAGGATTACATGTGTGAGCTGTCAGTACCTGGTTCTCCTCTGTTTTTATACAGAATGCATTCTTCAAATGAACCATGAAGATTAGAGTTTTACGAATATTAGGTTTTGGGAGCTCAGAAAGTGGCTGGTTTTAAGAAATTCTATATGGTTTTACACATCCGTTGGAATTCCTAAAATCAAGAGTGTATGAATACAAAGTTCTGTTGAGGATGTGGGAAGTGCTGTTGGGAGTTAGGAATTTGCATATGTACACTGGAGCGTACACATTCCTGTTCTAGGAGCTAGCAATTACCCTGCTCAGTTTACATCAGGAGCAGAAATATATATTCCTCAAAGGCATGCACAAGAATTCTCAGAGCAACATGATTCATAACAGCCTCTAAGTGGATGCTACCCAAGTGCCTTTCAACAGCAGAATGCAACAATAAAACATCATATATTCAACAAACAGGGTCTCACAGCGATGAGAGAGGAATGATTTAGGTAGAGGAGCATGTTCAGTTCATAAGATACGACTGCACACTATCTTCTTTTTGGAATGTATGCTTTGGTTTCCATCAGAAGTTTCAAGATGAAATGGGACAGGGAGTTGCAGCACAAACAGGTGCTCTGGAGCTAACACTGGGGCAGTGGACTGGACCAAAGCCACCTCAAGGCACATCCGGGCTTTCTGAGGGCAAAGTCTCATCCCTCCCTCTACTAGCTCTCCCCACTTCTCCTTTCCTGCCCCGAGGGGCAGAGACAGCTCTCCTCAGAGTACAGAGGACTGAAGCTGGGAACAGAGTGTACACAATGTGCAAAAGCTCTGCTAGCACGTGTGTAAACAGAACATAAGAGTAGCAGTGCCTGAACCCTAACATTCCAGTAGACTCTGGGCTAAGATGGATTCACCCATCTTAGCAGGTTCTCTGAATTTACCTTGTAGACGTTAAGTGATCAGGAATGGAACCTGGAGGTTAAAATCCCACCTGAGGCCAAAACTCGCGTTCTTTCTACCAGATTGCCTTGTCTCTCTGATTTCTCACGTTTGCAATGCTTCACAGTTTTCAAACTGCTCTCCTATACAGGCTCTGCACCAATTCTCACAATAACTCGGTGATTTGGGCATTACTATTGCCGGATGGTATGAGGAAACCTGAGGCACACAAGAAGCTTGCATGACCTGCCTAATCTAAAGAGTTGAGAGCACACACAGCATCTTTCATCTCTGTAATCTTTTCTCTGACCACGTCTAGGTTGTTAGTGAAGGGATGATGGATAAGGAGACGAATTTCTCCCTGTTGCCCTTGGCTTTGAGGAGATACAGCAACAAAATTATGTAATCACAACTGCCCGTAAGGCCATCTTTTGTGACCTTCACTCAGAATTCAGGGAAATCACCAGCCCAGTTCCAGGCACCAGGGGTGTAGAGGAGAAGGGTGGGGATACAGAGATATTGTAAAGTAACGCCGTGGAGCAGCCAACTCCCTGACAGATGATAAACAATGACAAGGAAAGAAAACTGCTCTGCCTTGGTTAATGCACAGCGTAAGAGCATCCAGAACAAGGCCCCCAGTGCAAAGACTCCTTCACTGATGAGATGGGATGGAGGGTTGAGGGCAGAGAGTACCATGCTTACTGAAGAAAGGATAAGTGCAAAGGCATGAAATTATGGGGGTTGGAGGCATGGCTCAGGTGGTAGGGTACCTGCCAGTGAGTGAAAGTATTAGACAGAGTTCAAGTTTTAGATGGAAGAAAGGGAGAGGGGGAGAGGGGGAGGAAGGGGGGGGAGAGGGAAGGAAGGAAGGAAGGAAGGAAGGAAGGAAGGA